AGCAGCAGTAGGGGCTCGCGGCGAGCGGCGTGGGGCCGAGCGGCGGCGGCGGGGCCGGTCCGGCGGTGGGGGCGGGGCGGAGATGGCGTGAAGCTGCGCCAGCGCCTCTGCGGGCGGGACCCACTTGCGGCCTGGGGGTGGCGAGGTGGCAAAGTGAGACGATGTGGTGGGGTGGGAAGCGCAGTGCGGAGGCGACGGCACCAGAGAGCGGCGATATGGGGAGATAAGGGGAGATGTGGGGAGGTGTGGGGAGATGTGGGGAGATGAGGCGACGGCACCAGAGAGCGGCAAGCGCTCGTCGGCCTCCCCAACGGACACCTCCACCCTGGTCACCTCCACTGAGCCCGCCTTGGCAACCTTGATGTCCGCCGCCGCCGCCTTGCGCCCTCCCGGCGCCGTCCAAGGCGGGCTGCTGCGGCCTGCGCTGCTGCGGCCTGCTCCTCCTCCTCCTCCTGCTGCCGATGCAATCGCGTCGTCCGACCGAGCCGCGGGAAGCTGTGCCAGCAAGGCGCCGCCGTCGCGCTTGGCACTGCCCGCCGGCGCCGCCTGCTTCGGGCGCACCGGGCGGGCCGCACCCGCCGCACCCGCCGCGTCACAGGCCGAGGAGGAGACGCCTTCGGCGCAGCGCTCGGAGCAGTCGTCTGCCCTGGCCGCGGAGAGGCGAGCGGCCTCCTGAGCCTCGCGTGCGCCGTAGCGGGCCACGGAGAAGGGGTCGCACGCCAGCGAGGCCACCCAGCCCGCCCAACGCGCGCCGCCTCGGTAGAGTAGCACACCACTCTTCATCACCACGCCGCCAGAGCGGCTGCCCGAGCGGCGCTTCTTGTGCCGCACGGGGCCGCATTGAGAGAGGTAGGCGAGTGTCGAGCGGCGCTCCGCCTCTACGCGGCGCTTGCCGGGTGGCACAGCGGTGCGAGAACCGGGTGAAACAGCGGGCTCGGCCATGCTGAGCACCCGCGGCTCGCACCTCCTTGGGGGGAAAATATGCATTTTGTAGGGAGGAAAAATCGCGCGGCGGGCGCACACAGGCAGGGAGGAAGGGAGAAGTTCAGCTCTAGACTACGGTACGGGTCTAGTGAGGCCGGTTCTAGCGATGCCTCGAAAAATGCTTCCCCACAGCGGGGAGCGTCACTACAACCGGCATCCCTAGAGCCGAACTGCAGACTACAGATCCGTCCGCGGCCGCAAGACGGGCGGCGTACGCACCGCCGCA